CCGGAAGATAGCAAAAACCAAAATATCAGGAGATGGTTACTGACGGAGAAGATAAGGTCCTTTTTCTAATGTATTTTGTTCATCTTTAACTTTTGATTTTCCCAAGAGAAAACGTTAGTGAACCATGATTTATACAAAAGCAGGCAGGCAGATGTCAACAAGGATCATAAGCTTTCTTTGCTTGAATTTGAGGGAGGAATTTATCCAACCTACAAGACTTACCTGAAATATGAAATGAACGGCAAAAGCGTGCCATCACTTCTAGATACATTTTCAAAACTTGACATCAACAAGGACAAGTAAATCACTTATGTTATGTTCAATTTGATTCCATAGCCTAACGGTTGTATACTATCATTGTGATCATTTGCTCATGTAAATTTTCTATGTGCAGGTTCTTGGAAGTGGAAGAGTTAAGGCCAATATTTGAGTATTTGTGCCCCGGAGAGCTCTCATATGCAAAATACTACACTACCTATCTAATTCGTGAGGTTAGCCTCTCACACTAAAGACTAAACCAACACTAGCCCATCCTCATCAGTCATCACATTTCTTGCACGGTCACAATATTTTTATTCCATTCAGGATAGCTAACTGGCTAAGATATCATCATAGTATTAGAAATTTGCTAAATCAGTTTCATTTTTTGGATGAAATGTAAATAGTATTATATACGTCCAAAAATAACATTTACAATGTGTATAAAAATATCCATAAAAGTCGATAAGCTAATATCTAGTCTAAACTAATTAGACCCAAATACCTAGCATCAATCCCCCAAAGTGGCATGGGAGAGGCCCTGACCCACACATCAACATAAATATTCCTCAATAGCTAATTAAACTGGGCAAAGCCCAGCATACCCAAAATACCAAAATCTTCAAAAAACTCCAATCGGCTCGACAGAATAACAGGCCCATATGCAATCCACCAAAAACAGGCATTTCTCTAGCAGTTGCCCAACTCGCGGAGCCTTGAAGGAAACTCATTGCTACATACTTCCAAATTTTGTCACACACCTTGCTATCCTTTCTTGGTCAAAGTACTTCATTAAGTTTTATGTTGAAATAATGATTAATATATGATTAAAATAAAGATAATGGATAAAGTGGCTTTTATACGCAATGGTCATATTAGTAACTTTTAATGACTATGATTATGTTTACGTTTACACCGGAGTGACAATCATTGTATAGTAACAGTAGTCACATTTTTTCCATAACTTTTATATGAGTAGGATTTTAAGAAAATCCTCATTTTATAATAGTCACATGCCTTCTTGTATGAATGCTAAATTGCTAAAATGTATGTGCACAACTTATAGGCCGATGATAACAAGGATGGAAAGCTGACATTAGAAGAGGTTTTGCGTCATGAGATCTTGTTCTATGACACTATCTTTGCCAACGAGAAGGACGATGATTATCTTTACCATGATGAGCTGTGAATTGTGATTGATCTTTAATCTATTGAGGAATATGGGATTAGTGGATTACCTGATGCATACATAATGTGATAGAATAGATTATAACTACAAATCTAACCGGACGAGATAGATTTTGCTCATTCCAAATCCTATTACGGAGTAGTATTCTCTATTAAGCTTTTAGTGCAAGAGTGCTCTGGAATTTAAGTTAGTTTTGAGTATGAAGAAAAGAGCATGCAATTGAGCCTTGGGATTGATGTACCCAAACCAAATTTATGAATGGGAATTTGAAAATTGCAGATGCTAAACAGTCTTATTATACCATAGATATCATAATGAAAATTCATACAGAGTATAAGTTAAAAGTCTGCTTTATATTGATTACTCTAAGTTCTCTAACGCCGACGATGATGCAGAACTGCAAATAATAAGGAGAAAATGGAATTAGCATATACTACGTATAAGAAAATACATTCACATGGTTCCATACTTCTATACTTATATATTATGAAAGATATTATTAGCTAAATGTATCCTCAAGTATCATCAAATTCACAAATCAATCTCATTCTTTCACTTTTATTTTAAAAAAGACTCGAACTTTAACTGTTCTCACAATTACACTTTCAATGAATGAATTAGCAAAACTTAATAAGAATAACATATTTATATTTTACATTTTTTCACTTCTTTCTAGTTTTATGTTTACAACCTTACATTGCTTATATGTTATTGGTATTGGTAAAAATATGCAATTCTGAAAAAAAGAAAAAAGAAAAGCATAATTGATGGAAAAGATGAAGTTTGATAAAAGTTTAGGATAAAAGAAGCTAATAATCCTTGTAAGAGTGAAATTTTTACATATTTTTTTTCCTGAGCACAAAAAATATAGCAAGAATATTATTTTTGTGGATTGCATGAGTCTGTTGACCGGTAATATTTAATGGGTATGTGACTATTGGTTTGAGAACTACTACGTATTTTATAATTTAGAGAAACTCATTACATTCCAAAAACTCATATTACATAAAAATAAAAATAAAAATCCTCCTCAATATCTTCCTCATTCATTCTTGCTTTAACTCCAACAGAATCAAATATTCAACATTCATTACACTTTATTTTCTAATTATTACTTCTCCTAGGCCTTGAGCCTTACTCGATCAGTTCATAATTACAATGCATAAATAAATGTGTGTTTGTATCGATCAATCAACAACAAACCTCATTTTTTCTTAACCAGGTAACAATGCCCAAATTATACACGCAAAGCTAGGCAAAAATAACAATAGTGTGATCAAGGAAAATGTATAACACAATGGTGCAAGCCATAGGTATTGAGAAACAATATGGTGATCAAACTGATTCTTTATCAAAGAGAAAGTCAAAAGAAGCAGCTAATAGACATGCCAAGGCTGAAAGTGAACGCAGACAAAGAATCAATTCTCACCTCTCTGCCCTCCGCAAAATCTTTCCCCATCTCCCTAAAGTAAGTATATATATGTAGTGTGTATATACTTTTCTCTTCATTCTTTGTTAAAGTAATTTTTAAGCATCTTAAATATACTATCGTATTATGAGAAAATTACTGATGAGGTATTTGCATTTGCATGTGTGTGCATGTAGAAGGATAAACCAAGAGTGCTAACGGAGGCCGTTCAACAGCTTAGGAAGCTTAGGGCCACGGTGGCGGCTGAGCTGGCGCGACAGCATGACAGCGGAGCGACCCCTTTATTCTTTCCGGGAGAGAATGATGAGGTGGCGGTCGTTCCGTGCATCGGAGGAGGAAGAGGAGGAGGGTCGGGGTTAGCTGTGAATGCAATGATCTGTTGCGAAGATAGACCGGGGTTGAACCGGGAATTGAGTGAGGCGGTTCACTCGGTCAACGGGAGGGTTGTCAAGGCGGAGATGGCGACGGTCGGAGGGAGGACGAAGGTGGACGTGGTGGTCCGCTGGTACAGCGATCAAGGCGGCGGCGACAGGGAGAAAGATCTCACTTCGCTTAGGCGTGCACTCAAGGCTGTGGTGGATAATCAGCGGTCATTGGGTTTTTCCTTGTCACGGGCTGACTCGTGGGCCTCTTTAGAATTGGGTCCGTCTGCTAACAGATCTAATCATATATGTGCTCCGACCAGTATATACATTCCCGACAAAGTCGATGTCATAAACTCATAGTGCTAGGGTAAATTCCCAGCTTACTTTGTTTTTGGAAGGAATTCCTAGCTTACTTTAGAGTTAACAAGAGTTAACAAGATGTATAAAACAACTAAAGGGACGTTAAATATGGAATAAGACTTATGATTTCTAACCATGCATGTACTACTGTCCCTCATATCAAATGATTTGTAAATTGAGTACATCTTTGTGTTTATTAGGTGTTGTATCTGTTATCTAACTTTCTCTTCCCAAACTGAAATATGTGCATAGGTCATCCTCCCACGGGTGGAGGTGGAGGGGTGGCCAACCGGGCCCCGACCCAACCAAAATTTTAAAATTGCTTATTTTCTTAATGTAAAAATTTATGTATAAAAATTTATCTGTAAAATTTCTTTATATCGGCCCAACTCAACTCTTACTCTTGGTTACGCCTCTCCCATATATTTATACTATGTCATTTGGCAATTGGCTAGGCATTTGAAAAATGAAAATATTTCCATTTATACTACCTCCGCCCCCGGTGAACTTTGTCAAGTACAAAGTATGTGAGAAATAAGAATAGTAAAAACTGTGTGGTTAAGATTTGTGCAGAGGAGAGAGAAATAACAGAAACCAAAAAATAATTGATTTAAAGGGAAAGCGCAGAAGTGATTCTGGTGCTCTAATTTACTCATAGAATCAGTTTTTTTAAAAGTTGGGGGTGACCAGTTTCTGAAAACTGGTTCTGATTCTGCTTCTGCTTTTAAAAAAGAAGCAGAAGCAGAATCATTTTGATAGAGTATATCTAGAGAGAAGTGAGAGCTAGAGAGAGAAGTGCAATAATATGCTTCAATAGAATGATTTTGTAACCCTGATAACTACCTCCAGAGGAAGTATTTATAGGGAAAATACGGACTGGGCTCCCAAGCCTTGGGCTTGGGAGACCCATTTACAACTGGACCGCTACTGGGCCGAATACAAAGCCACTAATGGGCTGTACAGATGAGTAAGTGTAAAATCCGGTTCTGTGAGGTCCTCGTGGCCGACGAGGGCGTGGCCGACGAGGGCACGGCCGACGAGGGCGTGGCCGACGAGGGCACCCGGGTTCCTTGGCTTCAGGACCATATTCTGAGTTGGTACCTTTCCGGCCGACGGGGGTCCCTTGACCGACGAGGGCACCACTCAGGGTCTTGTGCTTTCTGTTCTTCTGAGTATGTGGGTCCTGGGGCTCAGACCCATATACTCCATCACATTTCAAAACACCCCCATAACTACAAAGTTTTTTAGGATAATAAAAAAAGAAAAGTTAGACAAAATCAAGCTTCACAAGCTGGCCAACAAAGATTAAAAAACATCCTGTGCATCCGTGTATGGCTAGAATTCAGAGTATATGGACCTACTCAACAAAGATGAACGATCCTGATTTTGAAGGAAGCTGGCCACGGTTAGCCAGAGATAATTGTCACAATAAAAATGTTTTCAGGATAATAAATAATTGTACCCTTTAGATTTGCATAATTCAGTTCCAGCAGTGCATCCGCGTCCCTCTCTCTCCCCATTTTCACACTGTTAGGGTTTCAGGAGGCGCCGCTTTTGCTGTGCTCGATCTGAAAGCGTGCTGTCCACTTGCGCTCTCGCCGGCAGTCATCTCGGCTTCAGGTATTTCACTTCTGTTCGTACTCGGATTGATTGTGTATATACGAAATGCATAGTGAAATCGAGTTTGTTGGAATGCAATTTTTTACCCATCCCTTGATCTATACGTATCTGCCATTTTTATCGCTACGATTTACTTGAAGTTAACGAACGCTGATCTATCACTTAAATATCAAACATCTTCCTGAATTTGTAGTTGGACTATAGAGACTGCGCGTGTGGTCGGGGGAACAGATTTGATTTTACTCGAGGTAGTTTTAGTGCAGCTTATACAAGTTGAACTCCTTCAAGCTTAGTTGGTTTGGTACTAGTATAGAATGTCACGAATTTGATTTTTTCTGTGCTCGTTCCAATGGGTTTTGTTCTTTTGTGTTATATGCCCTGTGATTCTGCAACTAGTATATTGTTCGTGTTAAATGTGCGAACTCTAGAGACTGATTGGGCTCTGCATATATGAGCCTATGTTGAAGGATAGACTTACCATATATATGGATCTGTAAAATCATAGAAGATTTGAATTTTGTTATGTGTTATTATGTTTTGCTACGAAAACCTTCCTAGTATGTTGTCCTGTATCTAGTATACTGCTTATGTTTAACATGGAAAGTCATGATTTTTTTGGCTCTGTATGTTTGAGTCTTTTATCTGATCTTGGGAATGATATTGGAGGATAGACTTCCCATATATGTGGTTCTCTGGTATCTTAAAGATGTAATATTTGTTATGCCATGCTGTAATTAGAGAAACCCTATTTCAAATATAAATAGATGTATCAAGTGAAGCAGTACTTTTCATAATATGCTATGGATCTAAATGCATTGTGTTACATGTTCAGAGGTACATCATATCACAATGGAAGTCACTCAAGTTCTTCTCAATGCCCAATCACACGATTCAACTGTTCGGAATCACGCAGAAGAGACTCTAAAACAATTTCAGGAACAAAACCTTCCTGCTTTTCTTATATCTCTATCCGGTGAGCTTGCAAGTGAAGATAAGCCAGTTGACAGCCGTAAATTAGCTGGGCTGATACTTAAAAATGCTTTGGATGCAAAGGAACAACATAGGAAGTATGAGCTTATGCAAAGGTGGCTATCACTGGATGGGTCTATGAAGGCTCAGATCAAGGCATGCTTGTTACAGACCCTTTCTTCTCCTGTCTTGGATGCTCGTTCAACTGCTTCCCAAGTGATTGCAAAGGTTGCCGGCATTGAGTTGCCACACAAGCAATGGCCTGAGCTTATAGGATCATTGTTGTCGAACATTCACCAAGTTTCCGCTCATGTAAAGCAAGCCACTCTGGAAACTCTGGGGTATTTGTGTGAGGAAGTTTCTCCTGATGTTGTCGACCAAGATCAAGTGAATAAAATACTTACAGCTGTGGTTCAGGGTATGAATGCAACTGAAGGCAATGATATTAGGCTTGTTGCCACTAGAGCTTTGTATAATGCTCTGGGCTTCGCTCAGGCAAATTTTAACAATGATATGGAGCGTGATTTTATCATGAGAGTTGTTTGTGAGGCTACTCTCTCTCCTGATTTGAAAATTCGACAGGCTGCTTTTGAGTGTTTGGTGTCTATTTCATCAACATACTATGAGAAGTTAGCCCCATACATCCAAGACATCTTCAACATAACAGCCAAGGCTGTAAGGGAGGATGAGGAGCCTGTAGCTCTTCAAGCCATTGAGTTCTGGAGTTCAATATGTGATGAGGAGATAGACATTTTAGAAGAATATGGGAGTGAATTCTCAGGAGACTCTGACACTTCATGTTTTTATTTCATTAAGCAAGCTCTCCCTGCTCTTGTACCCATGCTTTTAGAAACACTTCTCAAGCAAGAAGAAGATCAAGACCAAGATGAAGGTGCATGGAACCTTGCAATGGCTGGAGGAACATGCCTTGGTTTGGTTGCCCGTACAGTTGGTGATGATATTGTTCCACCCGTAATGCCATTCATAGAAGAAAACATTACAAAACCTGATTGGAGGCAGAGAGAAGCTGCCACATATGCATTCGGTTCCATCCTGGAAGGTCCTTCCCCAGAAAAGTTAACACCTATTGTCAATGTTGCTCTAAACTTCATGCTCACTGCTCTGACCAAAGACCCCAATAGTCATGTAAAAGACACTACAGCTTGGACTTTGGGCAGAATTTTTGAGTTTCTTCATGGATCAATGCTTGAATCAACTATTTTTACCCCTGCAAATTGTCAGCAGATAATCACAGTTCTCCTTCATAGCATGAAAGATGCTCCAAATGTTGCAGAGAAAGCATGTGGCGCTCTCTATTTTCTTGCACAGGGATATGAAGATGTTGACTCACCATCTCCCCTGACCTCTTTCTTCCAAGAGATTGTACAGGCTCTTTTAACAGTTACCCACCGTGAAGATGCTGGAGAATCTAGGTTAAGGACAGCTGCATATGAGACACTGAACGAAGTTGTGAGGTGCTCTACTGATGAATCAGCATCCATGGTGGTTCTACTTTTACCAGTCATCATGATGGAGCTCCACAACACTCTGGAGGCACAGAAACTCTCATCTGATGAAAGAGAGAAACAAAGTGAGCTTCAAGGTCTTCTATGTGGTTGCTTACAGGTCATCATTCAAAAACTTGGAACAGGAGACCAAGCAAAATTTGTATTCATACAGAATGCGGATCAGATAATGAATCTCTTCCTCAGGGTTTTTGCTTGCAGAAGTGCCACTGTACATGAAGAAGCCATGCTTGCCATTGGAGCACTTGCTTATGCACTGGGCTCTGATTTTGTGAAATACATGACAGAGTTTTACAAGTACCTGGAAATGGGTCTTCAGAACTTTGAGGAGTATCAAGTTTGTGCTGTAACTGTAGGGGTTGTTGGTGATATATGCAGAGCTTTGGAGGACAAAATACTGCCTTTTTGTGATGGTATAATGACTCTTCTGCTTAAAGATTTGTCAAGCAACCAGCTCAATCGATCTGTGAAGCCTCCAATATTTTCATGCTTCGGAGACATTGCATTGGCTATAGGAGTGGAGTTTGAGAAGTACTTAATGTATGCTATGCCAATGCTACAGAGTGCTGCAGAGTTGTCTGCACACACATCGGGTGCTGATGAGGAGATGATTGAGTATACCAATCTTCTTAGAAATGGTATCCTGGAGGCATACTCTGGGATTCTTCAGGGATTCAAGAATTCTCCCAAGACCCATCTTCTTTCCCCTTATGCACCCCATATTCTACAGTTTCTCGACAGTATTTACATGGAGAAAGACATGTGAGTAATATACAATTATGCATTTTTAATAGTCAATATCTTATTTTGTTCCTTGAGGACACTTTTAATAAATGTCCTCAATTTTCTGTCGGACTATGTTTGGTCATTGCTTATGCAATTACTCAGGACATTTTCATATGACTGATATTTTTTTCTGTTGTGGATTATTCAGTTCCAAATTAAATACTTTTGAACCAATCATACGAGTATTAAATTGTGTCTAATTATATACCAAATGGTGTATAGTTGAGGGCCCATATCAGATACATTCCTTCTAGTTTTTACAAAAGCAATGATACTGTTATCCACAATGTATCCTTGAACTTATGTGTCATTTTTCTTTGTTCAATGTCCCAGGGATGATGCAGTGACAAAAACAGCTATTGGGGTGCTTGGTGACCTGGCAGACACGCTGGGAAGTAATGCCGGTTCTTTGATTCAACAGTCTGCGTCAAGCAAAGATTTTTTGAACGAATGTTTATCCTCAGAAGACCATTTGATCAAGGAATCTGCAGAATGGGCCAAATTGGCCATAACTCGCGCCATTTCAGTTTGAGATGATAATATGTCCATCTCCTGATACACATAAAATTTCCTTATTAGGAGTCGAGTCCCTGCATGCTTGCATATGGTTGTGTCGAGTCGGGTTCCAAGATGCATTCACATGTCATCAAAGGTCATTGCACATTTTATCATCAGGGAGCCACTAGTCTTCCATCAAGTTGAGTCACTAACTCATGCACCAGCGTCATGGGGTCCATTCATTGCTGTCAGGTGTGCGTCGGAGGGTTGAAGTTGAAGGGGGATGTCTGTCAAATAACTAATATTTGCATCATTGGGTGTACGAAATGGGGTTTCAGGGTTGGGGAGTGGGGTATGGGGAGGGGTATGGGAACGGGGCGGGGGCTGCTCTTATTGTTGAATGGACAACTCAGGTTGGTGGTGCTGGGTTACGGGGTCAACTACTTCTTGCAAGAAGTGCTACAAGGGTTGCTGATTTCTCAATGGGAGGTGTCAATGTACAAGTCAAGTTTTTTTTTGTCTGCATTTCAGGTCCATGTTTTCTTCCATGTCCTCATGAAATACACTTTTTTGGGTCAGTCTGTTGTATTGTCATAGTTGGTTGCATCCTGTTTTTCAGGTTGGATTGCATCTCATTCATTTCATTTCCTGACCCTTGTTGAAGGGGTTGAGGTTTACATGTTATCAGTTAGGGCAATTTGGTTTTGCATTATTTTATATTTTTACCTGTTTACAGCTAGGCTTATTCTCCCGAGTCAATGCTATAAAATACTTTGCATCCAAGAAAAAAGCATATTGTTCTTATGTTGTGGACTCTCCTCCCAACTCCATTTTTTATCACAGTTATTATGATATGTTCAACTTTTGCGTGTGATAAATGTACGCTGGAAACCTCTACATCGTAGTCACTACACACAGTGATGAAGATATTATCAACTCTATTTTGGCAAAGCCAAAATTGTTGATGTTCCTTTTGCAAAGAAAAGAATGTATAACTGTACAAGTGTATGACTTTTCAGGTATGATAACATTAAAATTCCAAGCTTTTTCATAGTACTTCGACTAAAACCATTGCTTGTTGTTGACTTGTTGGCATTATGACAATTTTTGAATTTATATCCTTTTTTGAAAATGGCTATGATGTATGATTAGGGGTGGACTCGGGCCGTGCCAACCGGCCCGGAACCGGACCGGCCTGCTACTGTGCGGGCCCGGACCGGCCCGGTGAACCAATTGGTTGGCCGGTTCGGGCCACCCGGCCCGGTGGGATCTCGGTTCAGGCTCGGGCCCTTCAAAAGGTGAACCGGCCTGGCCGGTTCGTGCCCGGGCCGGGCCAATTTTATTTTATTTTTTTGATTTTTTTTTTGAGTTTTTGGGTTGGGCTGGGTATTTTGGGCCATTTGAGGTGGTTAGGGTTGGTTTGAGGGTGAAGGGGAGGGTTGGGGGTTAACTAGGAAAAGCCCAAAAAAAAAATATACCTGAGGCCCGGAACCGGGGGTTACCTGGGCCGGTTTTGGGCCTCCCATACCTTGAGCCGAGGCCTGGCCGGTTCAAGGCCCGAACTGGGCCTGGCCTGAACCGAGTCCATTCTTATGTACGATTGTATAACTTTTCAGGTATGATAACTGTAAAATTCCAAGTTGTTTCAGAGTACTTCCGCTAAAACCCATTCGTGTTTTATACATCAGAAAGGAGTGTAAAACAGTTGTTGCTTGTTCGCAATTTTCAAATTTATCCTTTTGGGAAATGGAGAGTTGGTAAAACCTGACTATCTTCGAAAATAGTAGTACTAGTACTACGTATGTTTTTATTGTTTTTTAGTTGGCACCGTATCTATCAATTTCCACCATAATTTCTCAAGTTCATAATTTCTTCCATTCCCTAAAATCCTAAAGGGCTGTTTTAATGGAATTTAAGCAAGTGATATTAAAAAAGTATCTCTTTCAGTCTTTCATAAGCTACACGTAGTACTATGTAGTAACAACTAACAATAGTATGATTCATGTTATAACAATGTATTTGTGGTCGACCGATGTGGTTCCCAGTTCCCACACAGTCGTTTGTCCATGTTTTTTTAGAGTTTCTTGAGAGGACAGTTTTTAGTCTATGTAGCCATGAATGGACCCGGCCTGGTTCTGGTTTGGGCCTGGGCCCGGCTGGGCTTTTTTTTGGGAATGGGTCAACCGGGACCTGCCCGGGTAGGCGGCGCTTGCGGGGATGGCCCCGGTTCAATTTTTTTTTATTTCTTATTTATTTCACCCCACGCCCTCATCACCACAAACCCCTCGGAAATACCCAATCCAGCCCAACTAAACCCAGCCCAAACCCAAAAAAATAAAAAATAAAATAAAAAAGGCCCGAACCAGGCCTCGCTAGGAGTGGACTCGGTTCGGGCCGGGCCCGGTTCGGGCCTAGAACCGGCCGGGCCTCGGTTCAAGGAGGACAGGCCCGGATAACCCTGGGTCCGGTTCGGTTCGGGTCACCCGCCCGGTTCACGGGTCGGGCCGCCCGGCTGGCCGGGCCTATTTAATTTTTTTTTAATATTATATAATTAGAATAATTCTTATTACAATTACAATATATTATATTCGAATTGAAGTATATTTATTTCAAATGAGAAGTACAATTGAGAATAGACGTGTGAATTATTGTGCTTTTCCTAAAGATTTGTCTATTCGTTGGAATAGTACTTATAATTTAATTCAAGTACTTGTTAGATATAAAGATCATTTTCCAGCTTTTTTAAGACAAACTTGTAACTATATTATAAACCCGACTGACATCGACACTTGTGAAAAAATTGTTAATGTTTTGGCATATTTTAATAACGCAACTCTAACTTTTAGTCATGTTTATAAACCTACCGCAAACGAATTTTTTGTTGAAGCTGTTAATCTCGCCGACGCTTTTTGTGAATTTTCCGACGCCACTTACGTTAGTTATTTTTGTGATTTCATGAAACAAAAGTTTTTAAAATATTATTCACATATTCCGCATATATATGGTATTGCATTTGTTCTTGATCCTCGTTATAAACTTCCTTACTTGGCAAATTGTATAGATTACTATTATGCTTCTTTTTTTCCAACTCAAGAGTTCGATGATAATCTCATCGACCCTAAACAAGAATTCAACGAGGTTAATAATTTATTTCATCAATTGTATAATGAATTTCATGCACAATATGGTAATGCACCCCCTCCCATGCAACGAACATCTTCTTCATCTAAAGGAAAATCATTTTTAAAATTCGCTTTTGGTTCTCTTTTGAAAAAAAGTAGAGCAACTCCCGCTACTGAACAAAGATCAGGTAACGAGCTTTCTTTGTATCTAACATTGAATGTTGATTATGAAGTTGGTGATGACTTTGACGTTCTTAAGTGGTGGAAGGAAAATGAAAGAACATTCCCGATTTTATCAAAGATGGCTAAGCAAGTACCAGCAATGCCGATATCAACCGTTGCCGTGGAACAAGAATTCAGTGCGGCCGGCAACGTCGTAACCGATTATAGAACGAGATTGAGCCCGAGCTCTCTTGAGACACTAGTTTGCTTTCACGATTGGTTGAAGGCCCAACGAAGAACTCAAGAAATTACCATCACTCCCACCCGCCACTTTATGGAGGAAACAACCGAAGGCGGAGAGTCCGATTGATTTTTTATTACAAAATGTATTACATTTTTTAAATTCATCCTAATTCTCAATTGTACTTCTTATCTGAAATAAATATACTTCAATTCGAATATAATATATTGTAATTGTAATAAGAATTATTCTAATTATATAATATTTTTAAAAAAATTAAATAGGTCCGGCCCGTGAACCGGGTGGGTGACCCGAACCGAACCGGACCCGGGGTTATCCGGGCCGGTTCCGGGCCTGCCTTCCTTGAACCGAGGCCCGGCCGGTTCTAGGCCCGAACCGGGCCCGGCCCGAACCGAGTCCACCACTAGGCCTGGCTGGTTCACTAAATTGAAGGCCTGTACCCGAACCCCCCCAATCCTCGGACTGGGCCTAGGCCCGGATCCGGTTACCCAAGACCAGGCCGATTCAGGCCCGCACAGTAGCGGGTGGGCTGGTTCATGGGCCGGGCGGCCTAGACCCGTTCCATCCCTGCATGTAGCACAAATTGGAACACGAAAATGAGGACGAGATACGATGAAACAAAAATACTACGTGTGATACAGATATAGAAGTATTTTTATTAATATTAAAAAGTGTAGGAGTGTATTTCTAATTTTCTAAATACTAAAAATGATAGGATTTGAGTATTTTTAAATGCAAAATGCTGTACCCAAATATCCAATCTAAATCAGTGTGCAGTATATAAAGATAATTTCTTCTTTTTGTATTTTACTTAACTCATTAATACAATGCTTAGTTGTTGGAAGAATTTGAAGTCATGAATATAAAAGAGAAAAAATCCGAATTGGTGGAAAATTATGTTTTCGTTAATATGACTCTGCAACTTTCTAATAGCGAACCCAGTGTGAACGAATAAGAACATTAGTCAACATAATGTGTGGGATATAAGTAGACCTCGTCTTTAGTTTTTAGTTTTTATACTTTTATTATTTAATTTTTGTGCGTTTTCTTTATAAAAAAACTGATATGTGTATCCTTTGGAATATTGTATCTGTTTTTTCAAATAATTACAAAGAAAGTTGGAAATCTTAATAAATTTTCGATACGGCCCAACAATGTATGATACGGGTATCAGGGCGGATCTAACATCGACGTTCAGTAGGGGCCAAATTTAATTGAAGTGTTAAAATATAGTATTTCTTTAAATAATTACTTACGTTCTTAAATAAATGCAACATGTTGAATTTTACACTATTCATATATTATATTTTGATTACACTTTATTTTTTAATGAATTAATAACTTTTTTTTAAAATATTGTTCAACTTGTCTAATTGTAAATTTTCAAAATCTTATTTTTATTTTTATTTTTTTTACTAATAGCGAATAATATATGGAGTATATTACTGGTCAAAGTTGTGCATCAACAAATGTGACAAATAGACAGTTGCATTTACTTAAGAATAAATGTAGTGTATATTTAATAAAACTTATTTTCATGTGTAAAATAACATATGTTACAACATAAATCTCTAAGACAAAAACAAATATTATGAGAATAAGATTTTTTGTCAAAATCAATTACATAAACACCTTAAACCCATAATTATTGGACTTATTTTCACCTCCAAACCCAATGAGTTGAAGATATGCTCTCCATTGCAAAATGAAAAATGTTGTCCCTGGAAATCGAACTCAGGATCTTCATGATACTACGTCTAGCATAGACATGATCTACCACCATCTCACCTTATTCATTTTTGTTAACCTTTTGAGTGTTATTATTTTTATACAATTTCTACACAACATTAAATATATTAAAATACATATATATACATACTAATTTTTTTATTTTTTTTTAGCATGAGCCTAGGCCCTCCCTGGCCCATAGCTAGATCCGCCCCTGACGGGTATCCTAGATTTCTACTCATTTACCAAGAAAGTTATGTACCACTATAATGATTATTTACAAACTTAAACTTACGTGTAAGTCAGCCGTTTAACATTTTATGTGTTCTTACATTCTTTTCTTGTTCCAGTTTTATTTATTTATTTAAATATTTCATATTCATGTCATTATTTAAATTATCTTTGTTTTACTTTTTGCCACACACTTTTATTATATGTGCATTCAAATTTAAATTTCACAAACAATTTTAATGACCAATTATCTTTGTTTTACCAATTCGAACTTCATGGTTGCATTATTTTAACTATAAATGTGGACATTCGTGAATCGTAATATGCATCACTTTAGAGCGTTATCATTTTAGACGTTAATGAATGTTCTCATCGGAATCGAACCCTCACCTTTTGATGGACTTCATATATTTTAATTGTATTAGTTTTAGTTATTATTAATTACTACATACAAAACAATTCTTGATGGACTTCGTATATTCTAATTGTATTAGTTTTAGTTTGATAACACATCAGATCAGACAAGACATGAACATATATATATATATATTAGATCAAAGTAATTTGAGATACTGTCGATGTGCTTTAAGTTAAGTTGTAACGATATTAGGCTCTTAGTTGAGCTCCATATGATGTCCCTTTCTTCGACAAGTTGCTCCATTGGGCTTGGGTGGGCTTGAACCCTTCATGAGGGTTGTGTTTCTCACCTTTGCTTTTGTAACCATTGCCTGCTTGTACTTGTCGACGTCCACGAGACGTTGATTGGCTTGTTTTATTTTGGTTGGTTCTAAATTGGGCCGAATTCACATTCCTATTGGGCAATGAGTCCGTGAAGTCCATTTCCATCCTCTTCTCTGAAATATCGTCAGTCAATGAATGGGTCATGTAAGAACCTTCTTGTGATGTGATGGGCTGGAATGCCATCCATCGCTCCACCCAATCCCATCCCCTTTCTTGCCTCTCATCAGCAAGCATTTCTCCATAATTCAAGGGAATCTCTTGTCTTCTTTGCTGCTGAATTGAAATCAATTAGCAAATAAAATGCATATCAAATAAATGAAATATATCAATACTTTTTTTACAATGAAAATGCTTTTTAGACAAAAGAAAATGAAAGTCCATAAAATCAAGTGGAATGGAGATACTATACACTCCATAATTCTGTATATTCTCCCAATCTCTTGAGGAATTTAACTATTTTTTTATCTTGAAACGTTTATAAATAATTCTTTTCCCTTTTCGCAAGAGAATTCTTATTCCTTAGCTTATTATGCTATCCTCAAATAATTATGATTATACCGTGTCAAGACAAAGAACATTTTAGGTAATCAAAATAAAATTTTCAATAATATATACCTTGTAGGCAAAAGGATAAGTAGAGGATCTTTCCTTTGTCAATTGAGCATCGTAACCATTCTTCCTCTCACCAGCTCCCACATTTTCGCACCCATAATATTCATAATTGCAATTTTCTAACTTCTTTGCTTTGCTTTGAACTTTCATTTCTTCCTCCATGAATGACAACCTCTTCTCATCATTTTCATTGAACTGTAACTTCTTGTGTTGGGTCATCTGTAGTCGTCGATCTCATTGTCTTGCTTGCACCCGCACTAGAGATTGCATGCATCGCAATGTCACGTGCGCTTGTTTTCGCACGTTGTGCCCTCTCACCAACGCTTGTAGTCTCACTAATCCCTTCAATGCCCGAAACGCCCGCCTTGCCTACATACAATACATCTTTTTTTGGATTGTTATCACATGTGCTTATTTACAAAAGATTTTAATGAATTCTCACTTGGATTTGAATGATTTATACTTCAAAATTTTGCCATCTTTGAATTTTTTGCTCAATGAAGGTAAACTTTAGACCAATAATATTTCTTCATTATTCATTGGAAATTATTTATAATACACAAGTGATATCATACTATTCTTTGTTAAAAATACATTCATAAAGTTAAAATTTATAACTTTCATATAAATATATTGGTCAAAGCCATTGAGCAAAGTTCCTCATTATTGATTTGAAAAGTATAAAGTAACAAAGTTTTAAGTGACGAAAAGTTTAATACATCTATAACTTATGATAGACTGGACCCGGAGACATAAACACTATACTGTGAGATTCTATAAACATGTGGATTATGATAGATTAAATAACTTTGAATAATTTACACATGGAATATATACAATGGAAATGATCTGTAATCGCTTTCCAACTAAACATCAGTAATATCTACGAAAATATAATACAAATCAATTATATAGGGGGGGTGTTTGCCAATTGACCGTTGGTGATTATGTTGAACGAATTTATGGTTATAATGTAATTTTGCATCAATATGTACAAGGATGAATATGAAACAACAATATGATTTGTATAGTAAAACATATGTATATTCTAGCAGTTATATATCTCTTGTTTTAATTTGACACAATTATTCATGAAGTGGTTATAAAGTAAAAGAAGTTATGATCGAAGAGACTCTAATTTAAGATATTTGCATAGTTTCATAGTAGAATAGACATATTCGACCAAATCATACTATCATAGCTAGCCTTACAATGTTTTTAGTTGGACTGGTTTCGGTCTCACACCATACTAAACTTAAACAGACTAGATCATATCATATCAAGCTTGACCAAATCGGACCAATCTAAACTTAGGGTTTATTTAGTTAGACTAATTTAGTCTCAAACCAAGCTTAAACAATTAGATCATACCAGATCCAACCAAATCACTTTAGACTAGACAATAATTAGGTAATTGTTAAGTACTACTTGGGTCCCGAAAGAATTGTCTTACTTTTCTTTTAGGACGTCCCAAATGATTGTCTTATTTCCTATTTTGGTAATAATAATATGTGGTTCACATCATTTAACTTTTTTGCTCAGATCAAAGTCAGTATTAGAGCAAAGCACAAATATAGTTAAAAAAATAGGGGGGAAATTGTCAATTTGGTCCTTGTATTATCACGAAAAAGTCAATTAGGTTCTCACACTTTAAAAAATCAATCAAATTCTCACTTTGAAAAAACGTTCAATTGAGACAAATAGCAAGTTACATGCCATGTCAGCAGGTCACTTTCTGATGTGGCGCACAGTGGCCGGTCTACGTGTGAGCTACATCATCAGCAAATGGCTGACTGGGCTTCCACATGTGCGGCCATGTCAGCAAAGTCGATA